GAAAAATGAAGGATGTCAAAATTGGACCAACCTTGTGCAGAGTCTATTGCTATACGGAGTCTCTTTTCCCAGCTAAGATCCTCAGCATTCTCACTTGAAAGATAATCCTGCAAGTTTCCACTAGCCATGTACTCGTAGATCAGAGCCATACGACGACCATCATCGCAGTATCCAACAAACGAGGCTAAGTTCTGGTGATGGACTGTCAAAAGAAGCTCTGCCTGCAAAACATTTTACACTTCAGCAACCAAGAAACAACATTGTCTAAATTATCTGATCATGTTTTTGGTGGTCTTTAGATCACCTCGACTTGGAATTCTTTCGAAACTCGAGATGATGATCCTTTAGATTTTTTCAGTGAAGAATCCTTAATCATCTTGACAGCAATTTCAGCCCCATCTTCAAGGCAACCGAGATACACGATACCAAACCCTCCCTTGCCAATCACTTTATTGAAGTTGTTTGTAATAGTAGAGACTTCGCTATATGTGGACCTTCTCTTCCCTGAAGGCAGGAGTGGTCCTGAATAGGCTCCTGAAATCCAACACTCGTTTTATTTTGTCAGCGAAAATTTGAGTTAAAGATACCTAAGTATGATCCAACCGTCTCACCAATTTTCCTTCCCCTAAGGATGATCCATATATAACCAAGATGACAAAGAGAACGATCACTGATGTTGCTACAACTATTGGCACGATAATTTTATTCTTATCTCGACATGAACGTGAGTTACAAAGGTTTTTGTCATCTACACTGGAAAGTGGAAACAAATGTAGAAAGAAAATCAACATAGTTTCTGATAGAGACATAAATTATCTCCGTAAGATCACTAATGGTACCTGAGTGTAAGTACACCAGCCTTTGATTTTTTCAGAAGAGATTTTGGGATAAACCCAGTGAAGTTATTTCCTTTCAAGTTTCTTGCAACACAAGTAAATGTTAGACAAATTCATTTTCAATTGTCTATCAATATTGACCAAAACGAAGCCTATAATTAACTGTGCTGACTTGCAAGAATTTCAAATGTTTTAGATCAGCCAAAAAATCAGGCACATTTAGTTGTAGGTCGTTGTTCGATAAATCCCTGGGAAGAAACAATTGTATACCTCTCTTATAGCTAATGTTTTGTATACCTCTCTTATAGTTAATGTGAATAAAGTGTCAATGTATGGTTTGTATTTGTATACTTACAAATGACTCAAGAAGTGTGAGGTTTCTAAATGCCAAGGCTATTGGTCCTTGTAACCCGCTTGACTAAGATTCAAGGACTTGATCTGATGATTAGTACTATTGTTGTAGCTGCATCCAATACCTTCCCAAGGGAATAGTCTTGGGGAGCAAGGATCGCCGGTCCATAATTTTATCACTTTGTACGTTGATTTTATGTTTTCTATCGCGTGAACTGCACTAACAGGAGAAAGTGTGAATTCCAGTAGAAACAAGGATCAGAAATCGAAGAGAATACCGGTAGATGTATAAATGAACATACCGTCTTTAACTGTGGTAGGAAATTCATCCAGAAATTGTGCTGTAAAAATCTCAATAGCATTGCGAATTGGTCGAAGGGTTGAATCTGCGGTCTTCTGAACAGAAATCAAGTGATCTTTACCACTGAAAGCTCTTGAATTAGAGAACGTCATCGAGTACTTTGAAGAAGGAATGAAAGAAGTTTCAGAAACAGGGGAACCATTCCACAAAATCTTGATCTTTCTACTCTCATTCTTCTCAAGCTTTTCTAGTTCCGCGAAATAAAGATAAGCATAGAACCGAGTATTTGGATCCTCTGATGTCCAGGACAATTCTAGCGGATCAGCATCGCTTTTTGGTGAAGCAGCTGTCTTAATAACTTCATCCGGTGGCCAATAACCGTTCTGAAAAACATCGACATACGCAGATGTAATAATCGAGTCCCAAGAGGCTGAGGAGTATGGAGACCAAATACATCGTTTCGGTATCGTCCTGTTCCGGTAAAATTTCCAATGTCCAATCTTTGATAGAGAACCAAAGAGACATTTCTTCCAAATTCAGTACCGTAGATTGAGCTGTTCACTGGCCGGAGCTCCAAAGCCGAAATAAAAGGAGTTCCTTTACCTTTGTTCACAAGGCAAACATATATCGTCTCTGATTCTGCAAAGCTTAGGATCTCTTTGTAGACTTGTTCAGAAGCATTATTGAATTTCACTGTCGACCAGAAATTCACGTTTAGGTAGAGATCGAATTCGGGCAAAGCTTTTTCGTTTCCATCGTAGTTTCCGTACATAAAGGAAGCTCTGATGAGATAAAGATGTATTTTCCTTCTGAAGCTTTTAAGGAATTACAGTTTCTGTTGCCTTGAGGGAAAGCTCTAACTTCAGCAAGAGGATGGGGCAAAAATGGGTTTTTCGGGTAACCGTATTCTTCAGAGACGTTGAAACTTAAGCCGGTGGTTATGAAAGCATCATCGGAATCGTAATAGATATTAGTCTCAGGGTCTCGGTAGTTCTTTTCGGTAGGTGAGCCACAATCGATGCTGATGTAACCTGGATCAGAGTAGAAGAACAGAGATTACTTCCAACACGAGTAACATTGGTATGACGTTCGATAACGTTTTAAACCAAATTTTCGATGGGAGTCCTCTAACTTTATTTTTCGAGATAATGATATAAATATCACAAAATTGTAGCATCTAACATCGCTCAAATTTACACACAAAAACAAAACAAAAAAAACAGAGAGAAGAGAGAATTGCATGATTACATGCACCACAAGACACTTCATTAAAAGATCCTTAATTTAGGTATTTACAGAAATAACACATAAACACCGAAAGTACAAAGTCTATTCCATATTCAAACTTTATAGTTGAATGGTTTTAACTATTCTATAATTTATAAATAAAATGCTAAAAATGATGAACGTTCTGAATAGTCAACATAGGGACGTTTTCAAAACGTGACTTTGTCTCTTCTGTTTACTGTTTAGAACATTCATCATTTACTACATATCATTTTAGGGCTCGGCAAATTATCCGTTAA